CGATTCACTTACGAGAAGTTGTTTGTCCATGGTTGCGATTGTTTGGCCTAATTGGTACATCAGCGTATTATCAAATTTAGGCTCCATATCACGTAATAAGATACCTTGTAAATATTCTACTATAAATACGATATGATCATTGTGAACGGTGTTTTCAGCGCTATCAGAAGATAAAAATGTCACCATATCCATATAGCTGCCATTGGTCAGTTGAACTGGTTTTGAGCATTGGATTCCTGATTGGCTAAGAAATTGGCAAGCTAAGATTTTACATTCAATTGCATCTTTGATTAGATTACTTTGCAGATTTAAGATTTTGAGGATAAATTGATCATTGCAATCATTCTCTTTGTTGTTGATTTTAATATGATAATTGCAATCCTCGAAACTTTCCAGTTGACGGACACCAATGATGGTTTCAATGGCAACGCCAAGAAGGCGTGAAGCGGTTTGACGGACTTGTATTTTAGTTACTTTTGGACGCCCTGACATCGACGTTGACCGTTGGCTTTTCACCGCCAAAGAGTGGAATTTCGACCGATAATTAATTAATGAATACAATTACTGTGCTCGTCTCTACGCATATAAATAAGTAGAATGATAAGACAATTTTGAATGAGAAAGCAGTTCCACTTGAAGTGGAGAGTGGAAACTCCATATTCATCATTTATGACATTATTGTAATTATTCATTAATCGTGGAGAAAAAAGAAAAATAATATTGTCTGCTGGAAAGGTGCAGACTGGCGTACCCACCCTTGGAAAGATCCCGCACCAATGTTGAATGAGTACCTTTGTTGTTCCAGGATCAGCTGCGTTAACGTTAACTACAAGATAGCCAGCAGTAAATTAGCTTGAAGTGTGAATGCAGTTAATGCAAGGTCTAGCCATGAAAGAAAGAATGCTTTCGATCTTGACCTTTATCACGTGTTTGTTTGTCTCTGTTTATAAACTGCTATGCTGCATCATGGACTACTCAATTAGCTGCATCTAGAAGTCCATGGACTAGACAAGATATGATCTATCTACAAATCCAAGGCTGGACTACTACTCTACTAGTAGTTCATGCCCATTACTTCAGTCTCTGCTATGTTTATAAACTACTGTGCTGTGCCATTTTAATAACAAGTCCAAGGCAGAACTACACTAGTAATTGATGGCCATTGTGCAATTACTTCCCTCCCTAGCCATTCCATCCG